ATCCCTCTATCTCTCTACCTACCTATTTTTTTAAAAAAATGCCTCTTCAAAACCTTGGTGGGTCTTATACTCCGGTGTGTCTTGTACTCCAGAAAATATGGTATATATGTGAGACTAAAAGAGCTGAAGGCCTGAAGTGACCATTACATTTTATATTAAGAAAAGAACATTATAGCAATGACAGAAATGCTAGTATGTACAATAAATATTAAATAAAATCTAGATTTTCTGACTTCCAAGGACTTTATATCTCCAGGGCCTTTGGATTGCTTTACTCATAAGCCATTAAGTAGCACCAGAAAGTTCTGTGCTATGTAAGACTTTTAAAGAACTATAACATTCTGCCAAAAGAACAAATTCACTTACACCCTATTGAGCTATTTAGACACAAGCCAGCCAAAGAAAATTGCCTATTACATTTCATTTTAAGGAAAGGGCATTATGATAATAATGACAGAGGTTCTAATATTTATAATAAATATTAAATAAAACTGTGCTTTCAAATCATTCTGGCAACTGCCTTGTCCAGACAGCTGCCGGAATGATTTGATTACATGCATCTAAATAATCTCTAGGTTCTGTGGACTTCCTTTCTGTATTTATTTTTACTTATGTGATGAAGAAAGTAATGATAAGTCTAGAAAGGATCATCATTTTTCTATACCAATTCCTTTGTTATAAAATATCCTGTCTAGGAAACAGGAAGAATATTCATGACACACAGCTACTTTTTATATCCAAGTCCCTTAACAAATGGCACAGGTCTTCTCTTAAATATTCTATTCACTTTAAGATGAAAGGAATAAATAGTAGTCTTAAATTATAAATAGTTCAGTTAGAAATGAAAGAGTTTTGTCCTACATTTTGTTCCTATCCTTTCCCTACATTCTTTCCTCAAAACACTTGATATACGGTAATAACTATCATAAAATCTCATAAACTGGCTGTTTAATTAGCTGTTTAAATAATGTTATATACTCTGTTTTCTTTCAGTCTCTGGCTATATATATGAACATGTTGCCTTTAACAAGTACAGTTACCTTCACAGATGTTACCAAATGGCCAGAGTCACCACATGGTCAACCTGACGTTTATAGGAAACTTCCATTTGATTTCTTCTTCCCTTTTAAAATGGCATTGAATGAAGCTGGGAATGATTCATGTAACATATTGGGCACTTTGCTGATGTCATTAATGTTTTATGGAATATTTGTGAGCTAATACAGAAAAGAATAGCATTTCATGTAACATGGAATAAAAAATGGTTGCATGATGAGTGATCAAGTGATTAAGATTTTTAGAGATTTTTTAGAGATTTTATTAATATTTGTAGGCCGCCCTTTTCCCTGAGGGGACTCAGGGCGGCTCACATAAAATCGGGGAAGGGGA